CATACGTCGGGGGGAAATGCACACCGGGGGACGCAAATATGGGCGACACAACCCCTCCCGCTCCGTCATTTCCGCTCACGCTCCCGATTCAAAACATTGAAAAAACGGCGAAGCGGCTCTCCACAGCTCCGCTTTCGGCGAAAAAGTTGAGAAACACGACGCTAAGCCCTGAGTACAGAGCCGAGCAGTTCCCTCGTGACTTTTACGTGTCAGGTGAACTATTTTGCAAGTTTTGTCAACATTCCATTGATTGGAAGCGCAAAAATACATACATAAAACGGAAAAAACGGAATTTGGGAAAAAATAAAACAAATTTTATAGGGCCCTACAAATGTTAGTATTTGAACCTTTCTTATCCAGGACAAAGATACCGAATATAGTTTTTTCATTTTCTTTAGGCTTTTTTTTTTTTTTTGTCAGTGTAAATAAATCCTTAATGCAGAAGAACACTGAGCCACAGTTAGCTGGCCTATTAATAAACAAGTTCCCTACAAAGGAGGGTGTGGTCTAAGAGTGGCTTTATCTTACCAACTGACAGGAGCATGATGATAAAAACTCCCATCTTTAGACGATCTGCCATTCCGCCTTTCATGGTTGCCAGCTGTGAAAGAGAAGCGAAAAAGTGAAATGTATTTAGAAAAGTGGAACAAAAATATCCTTTATTCTTGAGTGAACGAGTACTCAGCAAATAAATCTAAAGTGTCTACTCATCAGCTGCAGGGTCAAATAAAAAAGGTCAGTTCCTGACTACAAGAATGCAAATCTAATGATAATGAAACTCCGACTTCATGTGCAGACACACTTCCTGAATAAAACAAAAAAAAAGAGTCCTGTGGTTGCTCAGATTTGACATAACACAACACCTTTTTCATGATAAGATTCGTATCCCGTTCCCTGGCCCGCTATCTGTGCTCTGATATCGCAGAATACAAATGAGCTCAGGCTCAAAATACACACAAGGACCTCTTATCAATGGAAACAGGCCTTCCCTTTAACGCAGAAATGAGCGCACATGCATCTGGTGTTCCTTCTCTCTACCAGCCTTTAGCTGATTTTATTTAAAGAAAAGAAGCAGCTTTATAAAGCTCAGTGAAAACAGGCTGTTTTTATTCAAAATGACATTCTACAAAACGCAAATTAAACAGTTTTATACCTGAGATAATGAGGGCGTCCATCGGTTTTGCTAGAGATTATTTGTGTAATTTTGATTCACTATGAGCTAAAATAGTTTTACTATGACTGTTTTATTGTTTTCAATGTAAAGATAATTGGAACCAAGCTCCTATATAGTGTGTCATTAAGTTAATTTTGTTTTCATTTGATGTTGTGTAAAAATGTTTTCTATATAAAAGAATATTACCAAAAAGTTTGATATTTTTTTTAATAAAGCTTAACTCTGTTCTATGAAGCTTGAATACTTAAATTCCTATTTAAAAGTCACAATAGCGTATGCTGCTATAGGCTTAGGATGCTGGAGGACATAGGAAACGCTTTTCCTCATTCTGCTTCATTCTTTCTCTATTCTCCCATTCTACAGTATTTGTTAGCCTCCCTCATAACTTTATGTTCTTCCTCTTGTCATAGTAGCTTCGTCTGGTTTGTTCCCGTTTGGCTGTGACACCATCCTGGAGAGAAAAATCAGCTGTGCTGATGCCATCAACACCGATTACAGATGATAGAGTTGGGCCTGTTCTTCAGTGTTTAGTCCTTTTTTGCTTCTAGACATAACTATGGGTTCAGCTTTTAATGTGACTAACTTTTAATGTACTCTTATCCTTTTTGACATTAAAACTGGCTCAGAGGTCGTCTGCTAAAGAGTTTAGCAATCTGTGGAGCTAGTTTGCCGTTACCTTTACTAACATAGGAAGTATCTTAGCTCAGTGCTTCTATGCCTGTTTTGTACGTCTGTTCTTTCCTCTTTTTCTTCAATCGCCGGGCGGCCTTGGTAGGTTTCTTTCAATTAAAAAGGGACTTTTTGTCTTGCCACCGTCACTGCATGCATGCTAGGTGTGAGGGATGCTGCGCAGTCAACGACATAATGCAAGCGAACATCTACTGTTGCCAGATACTCATCTGAGAGTAGCATCTCCTACAAACGATGCAATTAGCTGGTTTTCTTTAGATAGAAAACTTGAACTTATCTGACTCGATGGTCTGATTTAATTATCTCAATTAAGTGCTTTGAGATGAAATGTGGTTAGAATCCATGTTTCAAATACAATGTAATGGTCAAATGACCAAACTTACATTGTTGTGTCAATGCGTGACACAAGCATATGCACGCATATATGGATACACGCCATGGGTCACCAACATGGTGCCCACAGGCACCAGGTAGCCCCCAAGGACCACATGTGGTGCCGTCAAGCCTGTTCTAAAACTAGCACAACCTTCCAGTGAGATGCCTCTAAAAGGTTATTTTAGTCTGTTGCTCTACTTTTGTAATCACACTGACACTTCTACAGATTTAAAAATGAGAATATTTAAATCAAATAAAGCATTGCAAATATGTTTATTGGTAAGCGCTGACCCTTGTAGTTCAAAGGTCAGTATTGGTAGCCCCTTCACGTGAAGTAGCTCTCAGTTTAAAAAAGGTTGGGGACCCCCTGCACGAGGCATATATATATATATATATATATAATGCACCAGAGGAAGCAGTATTGTCATGATACGGATAAAGCAGAACATAAAAAAGGGAAATGGGTGTAGAGTGAACAGGGGAGGGTTGGGTGGTACATGTGTCAAAGCTGAGGTAGAGATTTTCTCTCCAGCCATCATGGGTGGATGGATGATTTCATGTGTTACTGTGAATTACGACAGATCTGACTTTAAGACTCCTTTCAGCTGCTCCCTTATTTTAGGATACATCTGGATTTCCTTCATTCATACCTGGATTTCCTGGATTAAAGTCAAAAGCTTAAAGGACCTACAACAAACAAACTCACTTCTTGAGCTATTAATGATGTAATCATGGATTTCCTTTATCAAAATCATGTCTAATTATTTTGTTTTTCACACATTTCTGAGTAATCTTTATAAAAGTGAGCAGCAGAGCCTTCCTGTTCTGGAAGAACGAGTGACCTTAACAGCGCTACATAGAGTAGCGATTAGCCGCTCCCCTCCAGGACGCGTCTACCTTCACCACATCATGGCTCTCCATGAAACAACACACCCCCCTTTCTCAGAATAGTGAGCGTAGATTTTGGGCATAGCATGGTCATTTCTGCTCAAAGATGAGTCTTTTAGCACCTACTCACAGAATGACAATTATTATTCTGTTTTCTTAGCTTTGGATGATGTCTAAGTTGTGAAATTGTGGTTTTTGCTTCAAGAGGCTTCAGAGTTTGTTCAGCCTTCCTAAAGAGGAGCCTTACCCTTAAAAGTGGTAACTGTGGGTGGTACCCACAGAGGCATCATCTCATGAAAGGCAAGTCCGTCTTGCTTCCAGGTCAGAAAAATGGAAAACAGCTAATATTTCTTTAGAAA